TCAAAGACTTAAATGTGAAAAATAAAGCCATGAAAGTGTAAGAAATAAATAAGGGAGAATTCTTTACTAATCTCAGAGTGGGGAAGATATTTCTGAGTGTGATCCAGAACCACTCCCTCTGCTTGTGCATTCTCTCTCTGACAAGTAAATAAATAAAATCTGAAAAAAATATATTAAAAAAAAAAAAGAGGGAAATAATCAGTCTACAATAGTGAGACAACAGTATACCATACAGTCAATGAAAAAAAAAGTTTTAGCTATAAAGGATTTTGGGTTTGTTTCTTGGGTTTTGATGTAATCAGTGCTGTGGCGTCAGGGTGATCTGGAATTACTTCCAGGATATATTCTTAAACGAAAAAAGCAAGATCAAAAACAACTCTCTGTTTGAAATAAAAAGGAAAGCGTGGGGGAGGGAATACACACATACATATATATATATATATTGCATACAGTCTCTCTGGAAGGACAGAGGAAGTGCTTGCCCTGGGGAGGGTGTCTGAGTCCAAGGAGGCCTCTGAGTGCTTATGCCTTTTCCTTTTGTACCTTCTGAGGTTTGAGGTTTCTTTTAATTATTAAGCTTTATGTTACATGTTACACTTTTCAAAGTATTTTCACATGTGTATTACTTGCATTTAAAAATCTCTTTCCATGGTACTGATTTTTCAGTCTGAAATCTGAACTTAATGTTAATTTGAATTTAAAACTATATTCAAGAAATTTAAATGAAAGATGAAACCAGTAAGCCTTTGTCTTCACACGGTAAGACATGATTTTGGAGGACAGCGTATTGGGTCTTATTATTTTCTTGATGTGGAATTTAACGTGTGTATCTTTAAATATTATACATGTTTGAGGCAGAAATAATTGTTTAACAATATAATATAAAGTTTTGCTTGTCTCATTTCGATCTCTACCTCTGGACCTTTAAAGTCACCTATATACCAGTTTTTCTAGTGAACTTCTTGCCTCTACATTGTTACCAGCCTCTTTCTGAAGTGACTGCCTCTGTGGACAGTAAAATCCGGGCAGGGGCGCCTGGGTGGCTCAGTTGGTTGAGCGGCTGCCTTCGGCTCAGGTCGTGATCCCAAAGTCCTGGGATCGAGCCCCTTGTCAGGCTCTCTGCTCAGCGAGAGCCTCCTTCTCCCTCTCCCTTTGCCTGCCGCTCTGCCTACTTCTGCTCTCTGTCTCTCTGTCAAATAAATAAATAAAATCGTAAAAAAAAAAAAAAAAAGTCCGGGCAAATGAGAGAGGAATGAACCTATAGTTGCAATGCATGCAAAAGCACTGGACTAGTAGCAGCCCCTCTTTCTAGCTCTGTTTCCTTTTGTAGGCTCATTCCTTCATTCTCTCTCTCTCTTTTCTGAAGTATAGTTGACATACAATGTTACCTTAGTTTCATCTGTATGAGGTAGTGATTTGACAAGTTTATACCTTACACTGTGTTCACTGCAGTGCTGTTACGGTATCATTGACTATGTTCCCTACACTGTGCCTTTTATACCCATGACTTACTCATTCTGTAGCTGGAAGCACGTACCTCCCACTCCCTTCACCCATTGTGCCCATCTCCCTTCCCCCCTCCCCTCTGGCAACCACCAGTTTGTCCTCGGTATTTACAGGTCTGTTTCTGCTTTTGGTTTGTTTATTCACTTATTTTTCAGATTCTACATATGAGTGATATCATATGGTATTTATCTTTTCCTCTCTTATTTCACTTAGTGTGATACACTCTAGGTCCATGCATGTTGTCTTAAATACCAAGATCTCCTTTTTTATGATGAAGTAATTCCATTGTGTACATATACATTTTTATCCATTCATCTATGCATGGACACTTGGGTTGCTTCCATATCTTGGCTGTTGTAAATAATGCTGCAATAAACAAGGTGCCTAGGTGGCTCAGTCAGTTAAGTGTCTACCTTCAGCTCAGGTCGTGATCCTGGGTCCTGGGATGGAGCCCTGCATTGGGATTCCTGCTCAGTAGGGAGTCTGCTTCTCTCTCTCCCTCTGCACTTACCCCTGCTCACGCTCGCACTTTCCACCTGCTCATGCTCGCTCTCTCACTCTCTCTCTCAAATGAATAAATAATATCTTTAAAAAGGAATAATGCTGCAATAAACATAGGGGTACATACATTTTTTCAAATTAGTGTTTTCATTTTCTTTGGGTAGTAGTGGAATTGCTGGGTCATATGGTAATTCTATTTCTAAATTTTTGAGGAACCCCCATAACCGTTTTCCACAGTGGCTGTACCAATTTATATACCCACCAACAGTGCATAAAGGTTCCTTTTTCTCTACATCCTCATCAATACTTGTTATTTCTTGTATTTTTTATTCTAGCCTTCTGACAGGTGTAAGGTGACATTTCATTGTGGTTTTGATTTGTATTTCAGCATCTTTTCATCTGTATGTCTTTTGGAAAAATGTCTTTTCAGGTCCTCTGTCCATTTTAATCAGATTATTTGTGGGGTTTTTTTTTTTTTTTATGTTGGGCTGTATAAAGTCTTTATATATTTTGGATGTTAATCCCTTATCAGATACATCATTTGCAAATATCTTCTCCCATTCAGTAGGTTTACCTTTTCATTTTGTTGATGGTTTCCTTCTCTGTGCAAAAGCTTTTTATTTTGATGTAGTCCCAATAGTTTTTTTGTTTCACTTGCCTTAAGAGACACGCCTAGAAAAATGTCACTTATGGCCAATGTCAAAGAGATTACTGCCTGCTTTCTTCTAGGAGTCTCATGGTTTTAGGTAACACATTTAGGTCTTTAATCCATCTTGAGTTTATTTTGGTATATTGTGTAAGAAAGTAGCCCAGTTTTCCCAGCACAGTTTATTAAGAGATTGTCTTTTCCCCATTGTATATTCTCGCCTCCTTTATCATAGATTGACCGTATAAGCATGGGTTTATTTCTGGGCTCTCTGTTCTGTTCCGTTGATCTGTGTGTGTGTTTTGTGCCAGTACCACACTGTTCTGATACGACAGCTTTGTCATCTGTCTTGAAATGTGATACCTCCCACTTTGTTCTTCTTTCTCAAGATTGCTTTGGCTATTTGGGGTCTTTTGTTGGTTCCATATAAATTTTAGTATTATTTCTTACAGTTCTGTGAAAAATGCTGTTGGTATTTTGATAGGCATTACATTGAATCTCTAGATTGCTTTGGTAGCGTGGACATTTTAATAATATTAATTCTTCCAATCCATGATCATGGAATATCTTTCCATTTGTTTGTGTCATCTTCAGTTTCTTTCATTAACATTCTGTAATTTTCAGAGTACAGGTCTTTCACTTCCTTGGTTATTCCTAAGGATTTTATTCTTTTTGGTGCATGTCCTTTTTGAGTTTTATATACATGCACACATATTCAAAAATGAAATAATTTAAAAATAAAGTGAATGTTTTCACTATGAAGAATACAAAAAAAATTTAAATTGTAATTTAAATATGTGATGGTATCATTGAGATTTTTTTCATTTAACAATTGTGAACATTTTCCTGTGTCTTTTAAAAATATTCACAAACATGGGGCACCCAGGTGGCTCAGTCAGTTAAGTGTCTGACTTTTTTTTTTTTTTAATTTATTTATTTGAGAATGAGGAGGAGCACATGAGAGGGGGGAGGGTCAGAGGGAGAAGCAGACTCCCTGCCGAGCAGGGAGCCCGATGCGGGACTCGATCCAGGGACTCCAGGATCATGACCTGAGCCGAAGGCAGTCGCTTAACCAACTGAGCCACCCAGGCGCCCCAAGTGTCTGACTCTTGATTTTGGCTCATGATCTCTCAGGATCGAGCCCCAAGTCAGGCTCCACACTCAGCATCGGGGAGCCTGCTTCAGATTATCCCTCTCCCTCTCCCTCAGCCCCTCCACCTGCCTGTGTTCTCTCTCTCAAAAATACACAAACATTTTAAGGCCTGAAGTGTATTTCATTTGGCTATAAATTGGTGAAATATGTATATATTTCTCTGTTGTCCATATACAAGCTCATTTTGGTGTCTTAGTTTTTGACTATTATAATACCATAATATCTTTGTACATTTATCTTCATGCACAACTTGGACTCTTCTCTTAGAATCAGTTATTATGAGGGGTGCCTTGGGTGGCTCAGTCGGTTAAGCATCTGCCTTTGGCTCAGGTCACTGATGATCCCAGGGTTCTAGGATTGAGCCCCAAATCGGGCTCCCTGCCTGCTCAGCAGGGAGCCTGCTTCTCTCTCTCTCTCTCTCTCTCTCCCTCTGCTGCTCCCCCTGCTTGTGCTCTCTCGTGTGCTCTCTTTCTCCCCCTCTCTCAAATAAAATCTTAAAAAAAAAAATTATGAGCTTAGTTGCTCAAGGATATGAAAAAAGTTGAGGCTTCTTTTTTTTTTTTTTTTTTAAAGATTTTATTTATTTATTTGAGACAGAGAGAATGAGAAAGAGAGAGCACATGAGAGGGGGGAGGGTCAGAGGCAGAAGCAGGCTCCCTGCCGAGAAGGGAGCCCGATGCGGGACTCGATTCAGGGACTCCAGGATCATGAACTGAGCCGAAGGCAGTCGCTTAACCAACTGAGCCACCCAGGCGCCCCAAGTTGAGGCTTCTTGATGCATCTGAGCAGATCACTCCCCAGAGAGGCTCTGGCAGTTTACACTCTCATTAGCAGTCTGATAATAACCATTTTCTGACGCAGTTTTCAACTCTAAAGATTCATTTCCCTGTTGCTGTTGACTTTAAAGAACAGAGAGCAAGAGGGGCGCCTGGGTGGCTCAGTTGGTTAAGTGACTGCCTTCGGCTCAGGTCATGATCCTGGAGTGCCAGGATCGAGTCCCGCATCGGGCTCCCTGCTCGGCAGGGAGTCTGCTTCTCGCTCTGACCCTCTTCCCTCTCGTGTGCTCTCTCTCTCTCTCTCAAATAAAAAAATAAAATCTTAAAAAAAAATACAGAGAGCAAGAATTGAAATGTCGAGGAAAAGTGAAGTTGTGTGCTTGTGCTGCAGCTCAGGGGGCTCCCCTGGCTACACCCTAAAATCGCTTTGAAATGCCTCTTCCCCAAGAGGATGAGGATGGGGCAGGGGCAGCTGGAGCACGTTGGCTGCATTGGTGTTTTCCAGGTTTGGGCTTTGCGCTTGGCACGCTTCCCTCTCTGAGCCAGGAGGGTCAGCTCCCTGTAGAGGGCAGCTTGTAAGGCAAGGGCAGGAGCCAAAGCCCCAGGGTGTCTATTCCAGCGGGAAGCTGGCCTTTTAGGTGAGGCTTGTAACTCCATCCCACAGTGTCAGATCCTAGAGATACCAGACAAGAACGCCACAGCAGTCTACAGCGGACAGAGTCCTTTCCCAGCAGTCCTAACGAGTCACTTTATCATCCCCACAGATAGGGAAAGAGAGATGGAGGGAAGATAGGTAGGCAGAAATTTGAGGAATATTTATTGATCACATAGTCTTTGCCAGGCACTGGGAGCAGCCAGAGCATGTTGGCTCAGCTGCCCGGATTAGGCCTTTTGGTCTGGCATGGTGAAATCCCTCTTCTCATGGAGCCGACATTCTAGTTGGAAGAGAGCTGAGACAGGGCTGGGGGAGATGGTGTGGACTGCCCAGGGTCTGTCCCCTGCCCTCGGCAGCAGTAGGGTAACACGGAGGATGAGCCTGGGCCTAGGAGCCAGATGGGTCCACCCAAGACCTTTCTGAGTCATGGTTGTAAACTCACCTCACTGACCTGAGAGGTCTACTGTGGCAATGTAGTAAGTGAGGACCAGAAAGCCTGGAATGACTTGGTAACTGTCATCTTTATTATTACTGTTAGAATTGTCAGAAATGTTATTCCTGTTACTGCAGCAGGTCAGTCCCCTGTTCTGAAGCTTTGAGCCATTTCCCAAGAGGGAGAGTGCAGAAGTAAAACTTCTGTGACCTGTAGAAGGAACCCCTTCTGGGACTCGAGTTTGTTTTTTGTTGTGGTGTTTTTTGCCGAGAAGACAAAACACTAGGGCAACTTGTTTCTCTCAAAGCAGCCAAGAAAAGTAGTCAGAGCACACCCTCTGTTGGAGCCTGGGGGGATTGCCTTAGGCAGGATCTGGCCCTGCCTTTATTTTACAGATGGGGTAACAGGCCCGGGGAGGGGCAGAGCGTTCTTGGAGTGCCCCTGATGTATTCTGGTCTCTTCTGAGGTAGGTAGTGTGGGGAGATGTGGGGCCAGCCCTCCACACTGGCAGCCTGTCCTCCCTCTCGCTCTGTGTCACTCACACACACACACATGCACACGGTGCATGCCCCCTCAGCACTTACTGAGCTCCCCCCGCCCCAGGCATCTTCTGCCAACGTCAGTCACCTAATGAAAGCATCACACAGTAACTTGGGCTGATAAGAACTTCCACCGTTACAAAAATGGTCTTAGAAGTAAAAGTTCCCCTTAGATACAAAGAACCACACTTGACAAGGTTTTTTTCCTTGTATCTGCTCTTTCCCACAGAAACTAATTCTATCTTAGGTGTTGCTTTGCATTTAACAGTTTATCTCCGAAACCTTGCTATAATCGGTACAGGTCCATCTGGCGTGCTTTGACTGCCTTCAGAAAACCAGGTACTCAGAAATGTTCATGTCCCCCTAGCAGGTGAACATTTTTTATATAATCGCAATACTGATTGTTAGCAAGGGTGCAGACAAATGGACAATCTTATGTGCTGCAAGTGGGCATATAAATAGGAATAGTACAGAATTTAAAAGGGCTTTTCCCCTCATCTTTTGTCGTCATAAATACCTATAGTATTCACGAAGGCAACTTGGAAACGTCTCTAAACAATGTGGCTTAAAAAATCACCTCATCCTTCCCTTTAGCCCAGCAATTCTAGAGATGTACTCTAATAACTAGAGCGAGGCACAGAGATTTACATAAAGACCTCATACTGTCTATAATGGTAGAAAATTGGAAGTATCTCCATGTCCATTTCTAGGGGACTGATCAGATCTTGGTACATCCAAGTACATGTGTACAAAACTCATCTAGAGGGAACCTTAATGACATGTTCTAGAGTGTTCTACAGAGTGGGCTATAAAATGCAGTGTATACTTTGATTCCCCTAATGCTTTCAAATGTATGTGGCTCTTCTTTATATGTGTAGTTCTCTTTTCTCCCTAGCCTTATTACCCACTGGTAGAGCTCTTAAGCATCTCTGTAGCAGTGACTTCTAATTTCCCGTCTTTCTTCCCCATACCATCCCCCATCTCTGAATTCCAGCCCCCTACCTCCATGTACCTACTCGGCATCTCCCCTTATAGGGCTCACAGGCGTCTCCAAGTTGGTGTGGTCAGATAGAACTCTGAATCTTCATCCCCCCACATCGTGCCCCCAAATATTCCTCTGCTGTTCATCTCAGTACTCCATACTTCCGCTTAGTCATGTCAGCTCACTTCCCCACCAGTCAGATACAAGGTCCTGTTGATTGAACCTCCAAGTAACATCTAGAATCTGCACCACCGCCTCCTTCCTCCACTGATCATCTTTTCACACCTGACCGGCAGGAGCCTCACAACTTGCCCACTTCTGGGCCCTGCTCAACCCAGATACAGAGTCCTCTTTGAAAATGCAGATCTGATCTTTCAAGACCTGCAACCAAGTTGCAGATGTGATCTGGCCCCTGCCCAGCATACTCCAGTCTATGGCTCTTTTGGTTCTTGCATCTCGCCATACCCTTCCCTCCCCCGAGCCTTCACAAACACTCTTCCCTTCAACCCATCTAGATAATACCTCTCCTTCCTTGGAGTTCATCTAAAATGTTGCTTCCTGATCCCCAGTCTTGGTCAGACCCTGGTAAGTCACTCCAGCACCCTGCCTTCTTCCTGGGAGCCCTGAGCACCCTTGTAGTTCCTTGGGTCATGTAGGCAGTTTGCTGCGCCCCCCAGCAGACTATTGGCTCCTTGGGGGCAGAGACTGTGGCTGACTTGTTCACGGCTACATCTACAGCACCTAGCCAGTGCTAGATATTTATCAATAACTTTAGACAAAAGGGGTTCTTTAAACTGTTGATAGTGGTTTCCTGGGTGTGAAATTATGGGTGATTTGTTCTTCGTACTTTTCTTTACTGTTTTGGCTTCAGTGATCGAGGCAAAAACTGGTATTTTGTCAAGAGACATCTGTGCTGGGGCCCAGAGTGGGGTCTTCCCTGCAGGATGCACCTGGCCTCACCAGTCCTCCTACCCCTGTACCCACAGGCCTGAGGAGCGATGCGACAGGCGTGATGGAGGTTGAGTCCTCCTACTCGGACTTCATTTCCTGTGAGAGGACGGGCCGTCGGAACGCGGTCCCGGACATCCAGGGGGGCTCTGAGGCTGTGAGCGTGAGGACGCTGGCTGGAGACATGGGCGAGCTGACGCTCGAGGGCACAGGTCAGAACGCATGGGTCTTCATTCCTGCACACGAGTCCCTCTTCTGGGCTCCGGGGCCGCACTCCAAGTCCTAGACTGCCCACTTTAAACCGGGCCCCCGTCTCGTGGTCAATGGCCAAGAAGCCAGTTTCTAGGCTGGAGGGCGCTAGTGTGTCAGGCCCTGAGGACTCCCTGGCCAGGCATCCTGGCCTCTTCCCTTCCTCATCGCCCCCTCCATCCGGTCAGTCAGTCCTGTCCTCTTCCCAGACACATCCCAGGTCCCTCTACTTCCCTCTGTCCCCACCTGCCAGCCAGCGGCCAGCAGGACCCACTCAAAGTGTCCCGTCCCAGCACGTCTCGGCCTCAAGCCCCCTGTCGCACTCACAGTGAAGCAGTTGTCACAGCACCCTCCTAGGTGACCAGGCCCTGCCTCTTGGATCTCAGCAGGGGCCCCTCTGCCCTCACCTGCTGTCCTCCAGCCACACCCACCATGGATCTGTTTCTGTCAAGGTACAGGCCTGCCCTGTCCAGAGCCTCCTGTCACGGCTTCCTCTGCTAGAACCTTCCCACCCAGTCCTATGGCTGAATTCCTACCAGGTGCTCAGAGGGGCCTGCCCGGGCACTGAATAAGGTTTCATGTGTTTGAATGTGAGCTCTAGGAGAGCGAGTGCTTGGAACCCACAGGCTGCATGAGTGAATGGATGGGGGAAATAGCCACCGCCCACTCCCACAGTGCCTGGGACATCCGTCCTTCCCTTCCTGTCCGAGTGGACTCGCCTCTGCTCAGTCCACTGGTCAGCCCTGGGGCCTTGCTCTGTGCAGCCTTCCCGCACCCTCCTGCAGTGGGCAGAGCCCTCTCCTCCCTGTCCCCATAGCTCCTTGGAGGCAGTGTTTGTGTCACATCCCCTCCCACAGCAGACTGCAACTAAGGGCTCCATGGGTCTCCCACAGAGCTGTCCCAGAGGGCCATCTTATTTTCCCCCAGGTAGTCTCCAGTCTAGAACCCTTGGTGCTCGTTAGCCAGAAGTGACCACAGAGTACAGACTGTGCGAACATGGACTCAACCCACTCCTGTTACAGATGGACCAACAGGCCCAAGAAGCTGGGTGGCCTGCTCAGGGTCACCAGCAAGTTAACATAGAAGAGCACACCCCACAGCCCTTCCCTGCTCCAGTGGTCTGTCAGCCCTCCCTGTCCTGTGGCCCACACTCCTCACAGCTAACCGCAGCCTGCTGCCTCTGACCCAGCCAGGGGAAAGCACATCTGTTTCTCAACAAGCCCTGATGGACCTTAACACGCTGGTTCTTCCTACCCACCCCTCACCTGGCTCACCTCTCTCATTCTTAGAGACCCAGACTGCTCTCTGCTGAGAAACCTTCCCTGACCACCTGCCCCTCAAGCAGGAGGCGGCACCTCCACAACCCCGCTTAGCCCAGCACCCCTCTAGGCTGTGGGCTTCCTCCACCTGGGTCTTTGTCTTATGCACGTGATACGTGGCATTTGGCAGGTGGGAAAGGTTGCCTAGTCCAGGGCTGTTCACTGACCAGCATGCCTCACTCCCACATGGGGCATGCAGCCAGAGGGCTTGCTCAGAGCTTCTGCATCCTTATCCTCGGCTCTGGGAAACTTCTGTCCCCCTCTACCTCAGCAGTAGTAGCCACTCATCGGTGGACCCAGGCCCTTCGAATACCTGTTTTCTCCAATTTGGAATCCCTGAAGTGTCTGGGTCCTCTGGGTCTAGGACATTGGCCTGCCGGGGTGACAGAATTTAAAAAGGGGACCTGAGGAAGGAACAGTGTTCATTGCAAGGAAGTGAAGCACTCATGCTAGAGTTGTAGGCCGGCCTGGTCAGGGAACCTTCCAGTGGGTCCTGCAATAAGCAGTTTCCACAGGCAGGCCTGGGGGCTGTGCTCAGTCTCCCAGACTCACTGAGGGAGTGGGCCTACAGAGATTCTGACCAGCAGGCCCGGCTGAGAATGTTTGCTTAAAACAGCCCAGGAGATGGAGACCTAGCCGGATAGATGGGGAGGCAGGGCCTTGGCCTGTCCTGAAGGCCTGGCCGTCCGTCCTTCCCAAGTCTGTGGCCTGCTGGTGCTTCTTAAGCCTCCCTTAGCATATCCTACCTTTCCTGATACCTCCATATGTGGGGAGCGCAAACGTTTCCTTACTTTGCCTAATAATGAGAGTACACTGCCCAGCAGTATGTTCCCAGGAAGCATTTCAAGTTGTGCCCTAAAAACTGGCCCCAAGGGGGTCCCAAGGGTAGTGGTTGGTGAACAAAGTGCTTAAGAACCTTCTCCCCTGGAGCACCTGGGTGGCTCAGTCGGTCAAGTATTCAACTCTTGATTTCAGCTCAGGTCATGATCTCAGGGTCGTGAGATCGAATCTCACATCAGGCTCCACACTGGGCGTGGAGTCTGCTTAAGATTCTCTGTCCCTGGGGTGCCTGGGTGGCTCAGTCATTAAGCGTCTGCCTTCAGCTCAAGTCATGATCCCAGGGTCCTGGGATCAAGCCCTGCATTGGGCTCCCTGCTCGGCAGGAAGCCTGCTTCTTCTCCCTCTCCCCCTGCTTGTGTTCCTGCTCTCGCTCTGTCAAAATTTTTTTTTTTAAGATTCTCTGTCCCTCTCCCCTCCTCCTTTCCCGCTCACTCTCATGCTCACTCTTAAAAAAACAAAAACAAAGCAGAACCACCTTCTCCCCCAGCCAAGAGAGAGCTGGGACTGGCAGAGAGGAATTGTTACCATTGGCAAAGACCTTCCCATGGGCCAGATGACCACCTGTGGGCCCTATACTCCCGTCACATACAGGTGGAGGTGTGCAAAGGCTCAGAGAGATGAAATAAATTGCCTGAGGTCCCACAGCAAGAACAAGGCAGAGCAGAAATTACTAGGGAATCTGATGAGAATGTTCCTGCTTGCCAGGGCAAGAAGCTCAGGGTCAAATAGAACACCACAAGCTGGGAAATTTGCTCCAAGTGCAGACTAGTTTGTCAGGCTTCTGGAGGTCCAGAAGGACCCTCTGGGCCCAAGCTTCTGCTACAGGTACCACCCCAGTGATAGGGGGTAGTGGTGGGGGAGAGCGCCAGATGTCCAAGTTCTGACCACACCACTTGCTACCACCACCACCCCCTCCTCAGATTGCTACATGGGCAGAATGAGGCCCTGTCAAGGACAGCTGGCCTTTATAAACCCTGGCGCGTGCTTTGTGGCAAAAGTTAAATTCGGTGGAAAAGACATTGGCTCTGTCCACCGCCTATCTCTGAGCCTGCTGTTTTCATCCGGGTCATGACCCTAGTCACTCCAGGCTGTGTGGATTTCATGGAGCTCCGAACAGGGTGGGATCATCCTCCTTAGTGAAGGGCTCTAAAGATGCAAAGACCGAGCCCCTATCCAGGTGAGGCTAGTCTGTTAAGGACTCAGCAGAGTGAAACAGCTGTGGGCTCTGCCCCAGCCACACCCTGGTTCTCCTGAGTGCCTGTTCCATGCTGGGACTTCATGTTTGCCCTCTCCTTTTGGAGAACCTGCACAAACTTCCTGACCCTCAACAGCCCTTCACCGGAGGCTTGTAGCCGTCCTCTTCTGTGATCCTGGCCTTTCATCGACCTTAATTATACTAGTAGCACTGCATGCATTTTCTTTGTAAATATTAACATGTTAGAGGCTGGGTTAAAGGTCCCTTTGGCCACTGCCACCCCTAATCCAGCTCGTGTCCTGCGCCCCAGGGCTCATCCACTATTCCCACTTTGGGCCCTGCCAGATAGCCTTCTGTGCTTTACGTTTGTGTATGTGCTCCTTTTCTCTTCTCTCCAGAAGGACAGACAGAGGTGGGCACCCCAGATAAGGAAGCTAGCAACCAGCCTGAGAGCAGCGATGGGACCACCTCGTCTTGAGTCTGACCTTGCCCATGGAGGATGGAAAAGAGACCTGCTGTCCTCGCCTGGACAGGGAGCCCTGGCACTGGCCTCGCAGCCCCTTCTCTGAGCCCCTGTCCCAGACAAGCCAGGCCCGAGTGAAAAGGCACCCCCAGAGGCCACCGTGGCCCCTACCCTGGAAAAGCCCTCCACCTGCACCCTCAGGCTGCACTTGCCCACCACCTCTTCACTGTGCCCAGGTACACTTCCAAGACCCTGTAGCTGTGGGGCATTATTTATTCAGCGGGCACCTGAGTGAGCAGCCCCCGCAAGAATGCCCCTCCACAGGTAGCCTGGGCAGCAACCACAGCCCAGCTCTGCACCCCCCTTCTCCAAGCCCAACCTTCTGGGTCAAGATCTTCATATCCCTTTTTTTAAAAACACTTTTAAACTTTTTAAAAACTTTAAACTTTTTTTCAGCAGAGAGGTTGGGAGCTGTGTTTTTGTTTTTTGGTTTTTTGGGTCTTTTTTGGAAGGCATTATAAGTTAAATTGACCATCTATGCAGCTCTGCGTTCCCTCATGGAGCTCCACAGATCCATTTCTAGGGAAGGGGTTTTATGCTCAAAACTGTCTGATCAACTCTTTGCCCTTTCTACCAAGATAAGTGACACCTAGGACCCAGGAAATAAATGCTGATGATTTGTGTGACTGGTTTACGATTATTTCTCCTTTAAACAGCAAAAGCAGGGGTGGGCCTGGTTTCCCCAAGTCCGCAGTTAGCTGGGACCCATCACTGCCCTGGGCTTCAGAGCAAGGAAGTACCTGAGAAGAGGCCGGTCTTCACAGAGGCTGGCACCCTCCTTGGTCTGGTGCCTGATGAGTCTTCCATCTGTCCCTCTTGCTCACCCCAGTCCACAGCTCAGCCAGATGGGCAGGCCCAGCCCTTAAAACCTACAGTGGGAGGGGGCTAAGAGGGAGCATTTAAGCAGATTCACTCTTCAAGAGAAGCCTTGTTTCTTCTGGAGGGAGAGCAGACTGGTCCCATCTTTGCCCCCAGTGTTAGAAGCTCTAGCTTCCTCCTCACAGCCCCCACCCAGGATCTCAGGACCCTGCTGCTGAGCGGGCTGCCCAAGTCTGGGAGCCCAGAGGCTCCTTCCGTTCTCACTCTGCCCAAGACCATGGTGCTGCATAGTACCAGCCACTGGCTTGTTTATTGAGCACCAGATTTTCAGCATGAGTCACCATAGGAGGAAGGTTTCAGATTCAACCAGACTCTGGCCCGTAGTCAGAGGAGAGATGCGGCGTGCCGAGGTATTCATGTGTGGAGAAACAGGCACACAGGCTTCAAAGAGCAGCAGTAGCTGACTGTGCCGATTTTCCTCGAAGGAGTAAAGGTAAGTGTCATTCAACCCCACAGCGCTGGGGAGGCTCCATCCACAGGGTGAGGGCTTGGAGAGGTGGCCATGACGTCTTCAGGGATGCTGCCCTGCTTGCCAGGTCAGAGACACAGAATGATTAGCACCTGCTAGTACCTGGGATGTAAAAAATCTCAACATCAGAGCCAGCAGGGAACCCCTTTTCTGCAGAGGGGGAGACCAAGGCTTAGAGCAAGGGAATGCTTTGCCGAAGTCACACCAGAAGGAAGGAGCGGAACAGAGCTAGGACCTGGGCCCTGGGCCCAGGTCCCCTGCCCTTGGCTTTAGGCAACCATGGAGATGGCCCATGTTGCCAAGACCTTTGGGACTAGGCTTCAGAAAGTCTCCCCCGAGACCAGCCTGAGGATGGCATTATACAGAAGGTAAGCCAACCTAGTGAGAGGCGCCATCAGCTACAGCCATGTAGCCCGGGAGGCCTCATACATCCTTAGTGCTGTATGAAGAGCCCAGAAGCTCAGCCAGGAACATACCTGCAGCGGCCAAAGATGGCATCCCATAGGCGTTATAGAGCAGATCAAGAAGCTGCTGCTTCTCATCTTCCGGGAGGAAACTGGACTTTGCCGCATTGATATTCTAGAAGGGCCAGAATGGCAGATAACATGAAACCAGAGAGCATGGAAGGAAACCCTTGGCAATCTAGTGATGAGCCATCCTCTTCAATGAGCATCGGCAATGATTAAGCTCACAGTAGGGAAGGACGTGTCCCATGTCACATGGCAGCAAATGCCCGAGCAGAGACCATGAGGTTCAGTGTTCTTAAATTGTCACTCAGTGACACGGCGATGGCAGAAGGAAGCTGGAGAAATTGGAGACCGGGTGGGATATGTGGGGCTGGAGAGATACTCCTGCAGGGACACATTTGGGGTATCACAACCCCTAAAATCAAGGGCTTGGCCTGGGATCTACGAATGGCCTGAAAAGTGTGTGCAGAATTGTATAGCTCGGCACACCTTTCTGGGAAGAGAGTTGACAGCTTTTAACGGATTCTTTGCAGGCACTTGACCCAAGCCAAGGCTGAAAAACCTGGTCGTAGATCAGTGTGCCAGCTCGAGATCTTGTCCATAGAAGGCACCTAACTCCTCTAGGTCTCGCTTGGCCTGGTGAGGCAAACGCCTCCTCTCCAGAGGTCCTGGGCCCTGGCCAAGACCTGCAGGCCTCACACACTCCCAAGGCCGAGAGTCAAGGCCACCAGGACTTACGCCCACTCACCAGTCTCTTGAACTCCTCTTCGGTAAAGTCCATGCCCTGTTTGGTCATCTGGTAATCCGTTTCCAGGGTGGACTTGAAGATGAGTGGGTCATCCGTGTTGAGTGAGTAGTTAGCCTGGTCATGTTTGAACCTGCATCGAGGGGTGAGTGGGGAGGAGGGAAGAGCTTCCTGTACTCTTATGTGAATAGTCCCCTTCAACCTGGAAGAGCTGCTCACCGTACACGGGAAGGAAATTCAGAGAACTCGGGTGACCTGCACGATGCCACGGAACTAGCCTCTGCAGACCCGCACCCATCCGAGTGGGCCAGAGCCAGGCAAAGGCAGAAGAGAACCAGGTAGAGTGGGGGCCTGGGGAGGCCAAACAAGCAGCACCCCCTCCAGCCACCACCCTCTCTAGCCTTCACCTTCCTAGCCAACATTCTGGGAGAGTCGTCTATACCCTTTTCACCTCGATCCCACTAGGATCGACTCTTCAACCACCGGCCCATGGAAAGGGCTCCTGGCACTGTCCCAGGTCACGGTCTCCTTACACCCAGGAGGGCCTTCCCTGGCTCTTTACTCAACGTGTGTACAGTTTTACACTGTTGACTGTTCTTAAAACCCTTTCCCTTGATTTCTCAGACCAGTCCCTTCTGTCTGTCCTTCAGTGTCACTGTCCCGGGTTCTCTCCTAGGCCCTCTCGCTCCACCATCTCCTGAGGCTGTCCCTTCTCCAGCCACCGAATCTATTGTGTAGCTGATTCGTGAGCCTTTCTCCAGCCCACAGGCTGTGTACCCACGTGCCTCCAAGAACCTCCACTGGGACGCTCTGCAGGTACCACACACTCCACTGGCCCGAAGCAACCCTCAGGACCCCCTTGTAATGAGAACATCAGAGCCTAAGCTCCTGCCGTTGAGCTTGGCCTGACCGTGGTAGCCCCACGTTCTTGCTGTCTTATCCTGTGTCAGGAAAAGGTGGCTTTGCCCTCCTGAGGCCTGACGCCGCTCCCAGGGCTCAGTCACAGGACCACCAGAAGAAGGGCCAAGGCCTCTAGTTAGATGGTGGGAGCAGGGTGGAGCACGTGAGCTGGAGAGACTCATCTTCCGGATGTCCAGAGTCTAGAGTGTGGGAGCCCCCCTCCCCCCCAGGGCAGCAGGGCACTCTGCGATGTCTGCTTGGGTGAGAGGGCCCCCAGTTCTGCTATTTAGGACCTGAGCTACCTCAGTCATGTCACAGCACTGCTTCCCAAGGACTCGAAGAGATGTCCTAGCAAGAAGGCCCCGCCCGGGCCAGTGCCCAGTCCCTCCACTTCCCTCCCACCCTTGGCCTTCCTGGTACAAAGCTGAATGGGCCCCAGGGACCGGGCCTCACCGAACCATCGGGTGCTCCGTGTCCCACTTCCAGGCGCCTGTGAGGTAGCTGGACCAGGGGCAGACCTGGAAAAGCAGGTGGGTGGTTGGCACACGTGCACCCCCCCTCCCTGTACGCCCCGGGCTGGAGCCACAGTGGCCTCCCAGCTGCCACGCTGGCCCGGCTCCTGGGGCCCTCCTGGCTTTCCACTTCTGCCCTCCCACCCCCTGGCCACTCGCCTCGAAGTGCATGTTTTCCTGCCGCAGCCTGGCGTAAAGGGTCTCGTCCTCCAGCGTGTGGTAGCCATGTCCCAGCCTCTCTGTCTTGAGCGTGTCCACAGCCTGCGGAGAAGCGGAGTGGAGCCCAATACAAGGTGGGGAGGAAGCGGGGAGAAGGGCCCCACGCCAGCCCAGCCTCCTCACCTCTCTCACCACCTCGGCGGAGCCCACCTCCCCTGCGTGGACAGTGCGGTGAATGCCACTCCTCACAGCCTCCTGGAAGGGCGAGAGTCGGTCATGGGCGGCCTGGGGGAGGGCCCCAGCAGGCCCGGCCTTCACCACACTTGGGGTCCAAGTTTTGGCAGGCTTGAACCATGCCCTTCTTCAGTCAGCTGCCCTGCTTCAAGATGGGGAAGTTGGGGGTTTTGTTTGTGTAATCCTAGTTTAAGTGGTAGCTACCATTTATTAGAGAGTTATTATGTGTCAGTCACCGTATGAAAGTGCTTGTATATGTTACCTAAGAGCCACAAATATTCTAATACCTGTTTTACAATCGGAGAAACAGGCCCAGGAAAGTAACAGGACGATGATCAAACAGGAAGAGGGGAGCCAAGCTCTGAATCAGGGCGATGAGACACCAGAGCCCCAGCCCTAAAGCCCACGCTCCAGCCACGGGGAGTGAGTGCATCGTGAGGCTCTGTCATCCCCACAGAGGAAACCGAAGCCCCGAGAAGGGACAGTCTCACCCAAGGTCACACAGCAAGTTACAGGCAGAAACAGGCTCACACACACGAGTCCCCACACCAAGTGGGATCTTCTGTTTATCCCAAATTCCCAATTTCTAGCACCCCAAGACCCAACTAAGGCGCACTTGAGGACAGAGGCGGCCCCACCGTCTCCCGTCCCTGTGCCCACTCCCTCCGGGGTGGAAGCGAGCTCCTGCGGCCCACCCCGCACCAGCCCCTCCCCACGTCCTTCGCTGGGGACCCACCTCGAAGGCCTTCACATGTCCCGGGAAGAGGCTGCTCCCTTTGATGTTCTCATCTCCAGCCAGGTCCACGGCCACCACAGTCTGGTGCTGGTACTTCTTACACAGCTCCACCACCTCCAGGGACCAGTCTGTGGGCAACATGCCCACCCGGCCTCTGTTGGCAGCACCGAGGAGAGAGGTCCCCCCTGTTCACTGTCCCCCGACCTGAGGCCAGCGCAAGGCGGAGGGCCCAGGTCTTGTCTTCACCTCCTTGCTGCCATGGCCTAAGCACAGGGCCTTCAGCAAACTGCTCCACCCAGGGCCTCAGTTTCCTCTCCCCTCAGAGAGGATGCCACCCGCCACCGCACAGGCCCGTGGCAAGGCCCTGCATGGAAAGCACCAAGGGCAGGGCCTGGCTGGGTCAACAACAAATGGCTGTGTTCTCATTTGATCCCCACGACAGCCCTCAAGGGGGGCATAACTCCACTTAGCAGATGAAGAGATGGAGGCCCCCGAGGTTTCACACTGAAGCCCAGAATAGCACTC